TGTGAAGAAAGTGGGATTTCTTCAGCAATAAACGTGAATTTCCTTGGTTACCTTCAAAAAACAACATTAACCTCTTTGGAGTGCGATTTGTTCAAAAAGCGTAAAAACTGTGATTTCTTCAGGAGAAGGCCGGAAGTTCTTGTGGAGAAACTGTGATTTGTTCAGCCCAAAACACGTAGTTCTTGCGGAGAAACTGATTTGTTCAAAAAACCGCGAATTCTTTCGCGAAACAGCGGTTTCTCTAGCGCAAAACATGAAGGTCTTTCAGGAACGTGCGATGCCTTCCAACAAGAACGTGAACTTCTTCGGAGAAACTGCGATTTGTTCAGCAGTAAACATGAAGTTCTTGCGGAGAAAGTGCGATTTCTTCGGGGGGAAACATGAAGTTCTTGCGCAGAGACCTCGGTTGCTTCAGGAGAATAGGAGACATTCGTTGAAGAAACTGCAATTCCTTGAGGACACAGCCTGAAGTTCTTGCGGATAAACTGCGATGTCTTCAGCTCGAAACAACCGTAAGTTCTTTCGAGAAGCTTCGGGAGAAAAGGAGAAATTCATTGGAGAAACTGCGATTTGTTCAACAAGCGGCCTTAAGTTGTTTGAAGAAACTGCGATTTCTTCGGGAGAAAACGTGGAATTTGTTGGATACCTTCGAAAAACAACCTTACCCTCTTTGGAGGGCGATTTCCTCGAAAAGCCGAAAAACTGCGAGTTCTTCCGGAGAAAGCCTGAAGTTCTTGCGTAGAGACTGCGATTTGTTCAAAAAACAACCGTAAGTTCTTTGAAGAAACTGAAGATTTCTTCGGTAGAAAACATTAAGTTTTTACGGAGAAACTGCAGTTTCTTCAGCACAAAACATGAAGTTCTCTCAAAAGCAGAAGGTCGTTGGAGAAACTGCGATTTGTTTAATAAACAGCCTAAAGTTGTTTGAAGAAACTGCGATTACTTCAAAAAACAGCCTTAACTTCTTGCGAGAAACTGTGATTTCTTCAGCACAAAACATGAAGTTCCTGTGGAGAAAATGTGAATTCTTCAGAGAAGTGCGCGAAGTTTTTCTGCAGAAACTGACATTTCTGCAGCACAAAACATGCAGTTCTTGTGCAGGAACTACGATTTGTGCACCACAAAAGATGAAGTATTGTTAAGAAACTGCGATTTCTTCAGAAAACAACCTGAAGTTTTTTGGAGAAACTGCGATGTTTTCAGCACAAGACATGAAGTTTCTGCGGAGAACCCGCGAGTTCTTCTGCACGCAACATGAACTATCTGCGGAGAAACTGCTTCAAAATATATCATTAACTTTTCTGGAGAAGCTGCGATTTCTTCAGCGCAAAACATGAAGTCCTTTGGAGAAACTGCGATTTCTTCAGCGCAAAACATGAAGTCCTTTGGAGAAACTGCGATTTCTTCAGGAAACAATCTTAACTTCTTTCGAGAAACTGCGATCTGTTCACCACAAAACATCAAGTTCTTGTCAAGAAACTGCGATTTCTTAAAATGCAACCCAAGGGTATTGGGGAGAACCTGCGATGTGTTCAAATCACATCTAGAAGTTTTTGTGCAGAAACTGCGATTTCTGCACCACAAAAAATGAAGTTCTTTAGCGAAACTGCGATTTCTAGAGGCAAAAAGCTGAAGTTCGTTGAAGAAACAGCGATTTCTTCAAAAAACAACCTTAACTTGCTTGCGTTAAGTTGACACTGCGAGGTCCGCACCACTAAACATGAAGTTCTTTGGCGAAACTGCGATTTCTTCGGGAAAAGGAGTTTTTGTGCAGAAGATGCGATTTCTTCACGAAACCCGAAGCTCTTGTGAAGGGAGTTCGATTTCTTAAGTGTCGGTCGCTCAAATGTCATGGTCGCTCATTGTAGAGAAACATCCATTTCTTTAGCCGAAAGCATGAACTTCTTTTGCAGAAACATCGATTTCCTCGGCCGAAAAAATGGAGTTCTTGTGGAGAAAACAGACAGAAATATTTTGGAGAAACATCGACTACCGCGTGAAAAACGTAGTGTTCGTTTGAATAAAATAAAAGTCTTCGCGAAAAAATATGCAGTTCCGACTTCTCCTGTCGAACACACGAGTGCTTTTGGAGAAGAATAGATTTCTTCGAAAAAAAAAATGAAGTTCGTGTGGCGAAATATCGAGTTCTTCGGCAAAAAAATGCAGTCATTCTACAGAAAAATGGATTTCTACAACCAAAAACATGAAGTTCTTTCGGAGAAACATCGAGTTCTTCTGCCGAAAACATGAAGGTCTTCTTGGGAAAAGCACAGAATTCTTTTTGGGAGGAACATCGACTTCTTCGTGAAAAACGTGGAGTTCTTCTGCACAAAAATCGATTTCTTCGCGAAAAAATATGCAGTTCCAACGTCTCCTGTTGAAAACACCAGTTCCTTTGCAGAAACATTGATTTCTTCGAAAAACAGCGATTTCTTCCGTAAAACGCATGAAGTTCGTTTGGAGCAACATATAGTTCTTTATATATCGGTTCCTTCCCGCGGAAATGCGAAGTTCTGGCGGAGAAAGATGGATTTCTGATTTCTTCGGGAAAAAACCTGGATTTCTTGTACAGAAACATCGGTTTCTTCAGGAAGAAACATGAAGTTCTTTTGGATAAAAATCGATTTCTTCGTGAAAAAATATGCAGGTTCGACCTCTCCTGTCGAAAACAGGAGTTCCTTTCCCGAACCATAGATTTCGTCGAAAAACAGCGATTTCTACCGGAAAAAGCATGAAGTTCCTGTGGATAAAAAAAAACATCGACTTCTTTAGAAAACATAAAGTTCTTGCGGAGAAAGATCGATTTCTTCGGGAGAAAACATGAAGTTTTCCTGGGCATAAAACACGTAATTCTTTTTTGGAGGAACATCGACTTTTCCTGAGTTCTTTTGGAGAAAGATCGGTTCCATCCCCGAAAATGTGAAATTCTTGCGGAGAAACATCGATTTCTTTCGGAAAAAACATGAAGTTCTTGTGGACAATAAACACGGAGCTCTTGCGCAGCAACTGCGATTTGTCCACCAGAAAAAATGAAATTCTTTAGCGAAACTGCGATTTCTGCAGCAAAAAAGCTGAGGTTCGTTGGAGAAACTGCGATTTCTTCGGGAGGAAGCATGAACTTCTCGAGCAGAAAGTTCTTGTGAAGAAAGTGCGATTTATTCAGAAAACAACTTTTAGTTCCTTGGCGAAACTGCGATTTCTTCAGGGAAAAAAATGAACTTCTTGTGAAAGAATTACGATTTCTGCAACACAAAAAATGAAGTTCCGTATCGAAACTGCGATTTCTACAGCAAAAACTGAAGTTGGTTGGCGAAACTGCGATTTCTTCAAAAAAGAACGTGAGCTTGCTCGGAGAAACTGCGAGGTGTTCATAACTAAACACCGAACAACAAGTTCTTTGGAGAAACTGCGATTTCATCGGGAAAAGAAGTTTTATTTCTTCAGCACGAAACATGAAGCTCTTGTGAAGAAAGATCGATTTCCTCGTGAGAAAAATGGAGTTTAGAAATCTTTCCTATTTACATGAAGTGTTTTCTACTAATAACTAATCCATAGCATAAAATCTGACGGGAATCAACTCTGAATTTTGGTAAATTGTCTTTTTTAGTGAATGCAGTCCTGATTCCGTTACGAGGTTTAGACCTGCATGAACCTCCCAGAATTCTAATCTCTGAATCTAAAAATACATTTTAATGAACTCTGATTCAGATCTGATAAATCTGCATAGCTGATTCAACTTTTCAGACCGACGATATATACCAGAACTCCTGCCGGTCCACCCGACTCGATGACCCGGACCGGGGCCGATCCTCCTCGGGCCAGATCGGACCGAACCAGTCGCTCTTTTTTCTCGGGCCGAGCGGGCCGTGCGAGAAAAGTTTTTAGTTCGGTCGGGTCAGTGTTTCTTAGGGATCCGGCTCGGCCCGAGAAATTTTAAAATTTTTTTCTTCATATTTTCAGTTAAATTTGGCTATTTCCTAGTAACAGTATGTTGCTATTATCTAGTGAATTCTGTTGAGAAAAGAAGATGTTGATCACTGGTCAATTCAGGTGACTGATGATAGGAGAAGAAGCAAATACACCATGTAAAGAAATTCTATCCTTTACTGAGTTTATTGTAGAATAGACTCTCTAATATGTGCTGCTCTACATATAGTGCAGAAGACAAAAGGAGTGTGATGAAATATGAATGGAGAGAGCAAATGATAGAATGAACAATGGGAGAGTAATAGAATATGACTGACCAAAAACTGAACTAATCTTTAGCAATGCTTTTACTGTGTTTTTGCCATAACCAAATTGAATTGAGTGTAAAAAGAATTTAGAGTCGGACTCGAGCCAGACGGTCCAGGAAAGACGACCACCCTAGCCATGCCAGTCTTGGTCTGGCCAACCGATTAGCATGATGGGTCTGGCAGGCCGCGACTTTTCTTGGCCCGGTTTGTTCCAGGCGGACCATCAAAAATTCAGCCAATTAGGAGCTCTGATATATACTTTACGATTTATGCGTTACTGCTCGGTAATTTTATTGTTCTAATTTCAAAAGTGAGAAAGAAAATAGTTTCACGCAGAAAAAAAAGTAAAAATAACACAAAGAAGAATGAAAGTGGAGTCTGTTCACCTGACAATCATATAGAGAATTTCACACAAAAAAATTATTAAAATATATTGTTTTCCATACTTTTACTATTTCACAAAATCTTTATCATTTTGTTTCATTTTTCTCAAAGTGTTTATTGAGTATCACCTAAACCAGATTTTGATGAACTGTTAACTGGACTTGATGCTGCTGAGGAACCTTGTATATCATTGAATGATTTAATTCGAACTTTCAGCTTTACCAGTCGGTTCATTTAAATTTATTAATGCCAAGGCATTATTCATTGAACGTTCATTTAAATGTGACAGATTTTCCTAGCACAGACAAACAAAACGCAAAAAAAACTAATAAGGGTGTACAGAAAGAGATATATGAACCGTACCACTGCATGGCAATGCTGTTATAATTGCATAAATAATAAATGGCTGTGTTTTTCGAGACCACGATCTGTAAATGCATGTTGACACAAGTGAGCTACAGACGGTAAAAGTGTAGTTGTTAACATCATTGGTTGTAATGCTGAATTGTGGCGAATATTGTTCAAAATAAAACATAAATTTTCATTGAATACTTCATCAAATTCAACAGTTGCACTGGCACAATAATCCAACCGACGTTGTAAAATTTCAAAGTTCGTTACCTGATCACGTAATGGTGGCCGAATAAATGTTCAAACAAAAACAATTGCTGAAACAAAAAGGAATAAGTGATGATGTTGATGTTTATTAATAACAAACACAGAAAAAACGATAGATCGTAATCGTCTGCTTATCTGAAACATAAAGCGATCAAATAATTTCTTTAAATTCGATGATTAGAGAAAGAAAAAATGATTTTGCTAAACTAAAAGTGAAAAAAATGAAAAAATACACACTTCTTTTCTTCTAAGGTTTTCATAATAAAAGTAGAAAATTTCCTATGTATGTATAACAGACAAAAATAAAACATTTTGTCTACATATATACGATGAACAGTGAGAAACAACTATAACATAACGATAATTTCTATTTATGAACAACAGAGAGAGAGAAAGAAAATCATCTGTTTGCATACGACAGGAATAAAAGAAAACAATGTCAATGTTTCAACACCAGATGGTGTAAATATTTATTACGTAAATCGCTAACATTCACGATTAACCATAAGAATGATGCATGATTACAGAAATGTAATGAATATTTATACCGAGCAAGACAACTAAATGTTTCTTCACAGACAGATGTATTGTATCGCGTTTTTTCATTTTTGGATGGATCCATGTTTCTTTTACACCATGGGTCGATATGTGTACGAAAATGGAATTTGTCGACGCATATACGGCATATACGGCTTTGGCTAACTTTGCTGATGAATCTGTATGCACTTTGACGTGTTTTGATGTATTTTGTGCAAAACGGAAAAAATGGCATGCGTTGTCAAATGCAATCACCATTGGGATATATGGTCGTTCATAAATTAAATCACACATAAATGAATACACTTGCTTTATCGATTCATAGCCATATATCTCTTTTAAGCCAAATATAACACCACAATTGTACACTGCTGCCATTACACCGGCTGATCGTGCACCTTTTTTTACGCTCAATTTTGCTTGTGTTACATTTTGGGAGCGGTGGTAAAATTTCATGTGGATATTCTGTTGTATCTTCATCTGGTGAAAAATTATCTTCTTCTATCGGTGGAGGAACAAATTTTGATGATGATGTTGTTATTCCTGTTGACAATGGTTCACGATATTCATATTCATCTGAATGTTCGTTCCATAAAAATGTGTCCAGTCTTCGAGTAATGGCAATGTAATAAGCTGTTGTGGTGATGGACGATTGAACATGCACGTCAAACATTTGTATAATAGCCATGTTTTTGGAAAATACAAAAACTATGTGATGTAGTAATGACAGAAATTTTGATAAAGGTATAGGAGTGAAACGGGTTGTGTATGGCGAACAAAAAACGTCAGAAAAATGATCCTGTAGGATCTTGTAGTAACCTAGTAGGATTGCCTGACATGGATAGATAAGATTAAAGTAACTATCCAATTCTGGTATCCATTTTGAAAATCTTGAAAACTGCAACAGATATTCACAAAGAAATTTTGGGTAGTCGAAGGGCTTTTACAGGTATTAAAAAAGAAATTTCCCCGTTTAAACCTGTAAATTCATCTTTGGACATATTTTAAGGCTTTAAGTGTGTTCTCTCAGCTTATTCCTGTGAACTGAAGGTATTCGAACGCTTCTAATTCGAACGCGTTCTAAATTCGAAAGCATATAACAGCAGCGGTTTTAACGCTCATGTTTTGTTTATTTAATTAGAAACTGCAGATAATTCAACGTTTCAAAAGCACACCTTTCATTTTCAAGAATAGCGAACAGTTAAGCCTGGTAAGGATTAAGAAGGCGAAAATGGATATGACTAGTCGAAACAGAAGAATATATAGATAGATTTCCTCCTTCAATATAGGCGTTAAATTATGAAGAAAGAGAATATCTCGTATACATAGATAAACAGATATGATCAATAACCATATCGATTTCTTATCAAAGAATTGTTATTGATGCTAGGATACGAGCAAGATTTAAATAATACGGTCGTTCAGTTCCACTTTTCGTCTATGCTAACAAAATTTCCAACCATCAGATCAGAATAAAATCTATTTATATATTCTTCTGTTTCGGCTAGTCATATCTATTTTCTCTTTCTCAATCCTTACCAGACTTTACTGTTCGTGATTTTCGAAAATGAAAGGTGCACTTTTGTAACGTGAGGCCTGTTTGAACCTGTAAATTCATCTTTGGACACATTTCAAGGCTCATCTTTTTGTGTTATTTTGGATATTAAAAAATCAATGAAAACAACGTGTCCTAACGAAAAAAATACACAATCAAACGGTGTCTTGGGTGTTTAAAAATGTGTTCTAAATTACAGTCGTTTTTAATCACTACAGTTCACTCAATCATCTTTTTCAATTTTAAAACCCTTACTTACCCTATGGCACCTACCATTTTATAAAAACTTACTTCATTTGAACTATTAGACATTTAGAACGAGATTTTATATCAACTTAAAGCTGATCTATTGTGGGCTTAAAAAAACAATCTGAATGTAATCTTTATCATAAAAAAATTTTTTTTGATGTTCATTGAAGATTTTTTCTGCCTTTCACACGGATTTGGTTCAAACTTTTCCTGTGTACATTAGAGACCATAAGATGATTGATGCTGTTGAGCGAGTTGTCCTTCAGAACCGTCAGGTTTCGCCAAATCAATGAAAACAACGTGTCCTAACGAAAAAAATACACAATCAAACGGTGTCTTGGGTGTTTAAGGTAGCATTAATAAAGGAGGCTCGTCATTTTTGGATCACAATTTTGTCCAGTTTTATCTGACTACACCTGGACGTCTAGTTTGAAAAACACTTTTCTAATTTTAGAAGAAACTTTAGTTCCTCTTCTCTTCTCTTTGCAATATTGTGATCATGCATCAATGAATCACAGTAGGTTTATAAGCAAAAAGCGAAATGTTCTTTATTTTATTTGAATAGCGTCAAATATGCTTTATTCAACGCGCTACTTAATGGCCCAAAACGTTTTGTTCCATGCGGTTTCTTTTCTTAGAAAAGTTTGAGAAACATCAAGAAGACTCAAATTTACACCAAAATGTTCGTCAAAATGTATCTATGGTGCATACACAACTTTTCTCAGGCGGAGTTATGGGTTTTGCTAAAACCCCCAATTTTTGAGCTAAAATCTACTCTTCTCACCACCGGAACACATTTATGAAAAAATAATGAGATATTTGGAATCAGCGTGTAAAACTGCATCGAACGGTGTATAGTTTGTTAGTTTCACAAATAAAACATTTTTGGCGACAATTCAGGGCAAGGGATCTTTTATCGAATAAAACGTTTTTTTCGAATTCGACCTTTTTTTTACTTCTATTGATATTTGGCGCATAATAAGACTATATTATGCGAAAATAATCATTTTTTAACTAAAAAACAGATGTGCGTTTGCTCTACGGAAAAATGTCCACTGTGTGAATCCCATTCAGTTTGAGCATTGCCACGCAGCAGGAAATTTGCAAAAGCTTTAGACGCATTTAAATGCGTCATTTGAAAAATTTATCATTACCACGCGTTTTCCCCTTAGATAACGTGTAAGGGAAAAACGCGTGGTAATGATAAATTTTCACGTTTAAATGCATCCAAAACTTTTGCAAATATAATGAGATAATGTTAACTGTATAATAACTTGTTGTTTTCTGAATGTGCTTGATTTCTTAAGTAAAATGAAGGAAATACATAATTAATACTTGCAGTTACCTCACTAAAGTTTATGAAAGACAATATCAATGTAAAACGATTCAGTTTCTGATTGTAGACAAATATAAATGAAGAGAAGCAATCGAAATACAAAAGTTTGGTCTAGTAAAATAAACTAATATTTTTTATACTCAAAAAATGAATGACTTAAACAAGATTTTTATCTTAAATAGATAAAGTATGAAAAATGGTTGGAAAGTTAAATAAATTATTTTCTTTGTTTGACAAATATGAAAAATTGATAATGTACAATACAAGTTCTTGATATCTGATTAAAATATTATTTACTCTGCATATTTATTTATCACCCGGTTTTTTTTTTATTACCCTTGTTAGAATCAAGACAGACAATTTAAAACAGGCAGAAACGTTATTTTTTCAAAAAAAAACAACAACGTAAACTCGTATAAAAAAAACCGTGTTAAACGCTGAGCAGCGAAAAATTTGTTACAAAGGCCTTTACATGCACTGCATATATTATTATTTATAGTAATATAAAAAAAATGAAACAAAGACAGAAAACGGTCGATAATGTATCATTTTGCTTTTTGTCCCATTCCTGTTGCAAACAAGAGTTGTTTGGTTTTCTTTTTTTTCTTTCCACCAACACCATTTTTCCCCGTTGAATTTACTTGTTGGTCTTGCTCGTTATTGGCACCATTTGTTGCTAAAACACACAAAGGATAACAAATTTGAGAATAGCATCTGTCAGCTTCTGAAATTACATCAAGCAAAATGGTCTAAAGATTTCTTCTGTTATTGCTTTAATTCATTATTTCTGTTATTTGAGAATGTAATCTTACATAAGTTACTATATTTTTGTTATGATTTTTCCATTTTCCGACATGCAGAGATGTTAACAGTGGTATTTCTAGATCGTCTTAAGTATACACCGTTGCTTTTCACTTTTTTTTTGTTCGAAATTGTGTGGAATAAAACATAAAAAATGTACTAGTGATGCACTAAGATAAACTATACGGACAAATCATTGAGATTTTACACAATGAAATGAATAGCTAAATCCACAATTTCTCAACAATCTTCAATAAGAACAGCTAGTTCAGAAATGGACAAGTCCAAGTCCGAGAAGAAATTAGTCTAGTCGAGTTTGTAGAAGAAAACAGGACTGTCGCACTAATTTTTCGCACTAACATCATCCGTATCGATGTTAAATTTATTAATCTCGATTAAAATGCACGCGATAACAACTAAAAATGTACTCTTCATTTGTCTACTAGTGGTAAAATAAAAGTATTTTCTTTTATTAAACTGTACTTACCATTATTAACTTTTAATTTGTCGAAAACCGCTTCTAAATCTTGGCTAAAACTTGTATGAAAATTTGGCACTGCAACATGATCATCCCCTTCAACATCTTTATAATCGTCATCACTATCATTTTTGCATTTATTATTTTTCTTGTTTTTTCTCGTATCTTCTTTCGGCATGATGGATGCTGATAGAGGCCCTGCTACCTTTTTCATTGAAACTTGTAATGGTACAGATGGTGCTCGTTGTTTTAACATTTGAGCAAATGATGGACCGTTTTCTTCACTTGTTAGTACTGCTGATGCTGATGGCGGAGATGAACTGGTAGTCGAGGGGGTCATAGCTGGAAATTCTTCCATTGATTGTGTACTATTCACGGGAAAATGTTCACTCGGAAGATACATTAATTCAGTTGGATCTATAAATGAGAGAAAAAAGAAAAATTGGGTTTGCTGTATGACTGAGCAAGTAATACATACATTGCGTCAATTTTTTTGTTTCAGCCACTTCAGCTTGGTATTTAAGGCGTTTTTCCATACGCTCCTTACGATAACGAAATTGACGGCGACGATATAATTCGTCTGAATAAAAAATGAAAAAAATCATTAAGCAAATCAAATATCGAACGCTAAAAATCAATGAAAAGAAAATTTTATATATCTACAAAATCTTACCTGCAAACATATTCATTGTTTGCATGGATATAACAGGTGGTCTTAATCGTATTTCAATCACTTGAAATTCACATGTTAATGGTATATGTCCCAAAAATCGAAAATGAGAACGCAACTCCTTTGAAATAGAAATAAAGATACATTAAAGAGAAAAGTGTTGTATAAGAGAAAATATACAAACCTCCGTCATAAAGAAACTTTCTACATGTTCAACTTTTGCATGAACGACTTCTGGACAATTTAAATACGACCCATATTCATGAAGTAAAATTCGAGCATTTATACCATTCAAATACGCGTGTGAAACATTATCAGCTGAAGTAACGAACAAGACACATTTATTCGAATACATCATCAATGGTGCTCATAACACGAATTAGATACTTCAGTAGATAAAATTTAACTCTAGAGTTAATTAATAGTCTGATTTTTACATGGGGTTCGATACTCAAGAAGTCTCTCAGCTAACGAAACATATCAAAATTAGCCAACGATTTCAGAACGCTGTTGGATATTTAATTTCATCAGTCGTATCAGAAGCAGAACTGGTTTAATAATTTCATCATTATCCGTTGACTCATTTGAAAAAGAAGTCGTCTAATATAACACGTTTTTATTTCTTTATCTAAATTTTGACAACTCACCTTGATAAAAGAAATGCCTGTTGTGCTGAATATGTGTTGTGGGTGATTCAGGTTCCTGATCCATATCTAAACAAGAAAAAGAAACTTGAAGAGAATTCTTGAATAATTTTTAATAATTGACACTCACAATACTGATTTTCTTTTTCAATAGAGTATTCACTAGTTTTTCTACTATTTGATGAATATTCTTCGGCTGATAAATCATCTGATAATTTTTCTTCATTGAAATCTTCTCTACTTGGCGATATAACAACATTATCAAACGCGTCTTCATAGACGACCGCTGACTAAAATGAAAAAAGTCAATAATATTTAACTTCTACTTTTGTGACGACCAATAAAGTGAGAGTATTAGCTATTTATGGCAATACTTCGAAGAGTTAACTTAACAGAGTACCAGTGTTGATTTAAGTAATGAAAAGATGAAAATTGACTACTGTTTGTTTGATTTTTAAATATTTTTCACAAATATACCATAAAAACTCCTTCAGAAATGTCGTCACACTCAATGTGTTCAGCTGTTTGTTCATCGATCTAATTTCATCTGAAAATTTGTATTTACCTTTGTGTTCACTGTTTTATTATCTTGCATTTCACCGAGTACGTTTTCGGAGGATAAATCTTGTTTAATCGTTTCGTTAGGTGACTTCTGCTGTTCATACTTTGGTAATTTTAATAAGTTCAATTTTTCACGAATAATCTTATCGCGTTCCTAAAAGAAACATGAAGCGTGACCGTCTATCACAGCACAATGTAAGAGCCATGCTTTTGGCTCGAGAATAATCTATGATCAATACATATTCTTTTACGTAATCATTAAGAAAACTTCTATGTGCCTGTGTATAATTATATAGTCGACATAAACATACTTCAATTTCTTCTAACGCTTGTTTGATAAAAATCGCTTCTGGTTGATCTCCTTCGTCTTGTAATTGTTTTAGTAATTCATATTTTTCTTTTTCAATTATTTCCACAAGAATTGTTTTATAATCAGCCAATAATAAACTCGAATGATTATGACCAATTGTGTAATTATTTGAGACAAGTAAACGATCGATTTGTGGTTCCGTTGTTGACGGTTCAATATGTCTTGGATAAAATAGAGATGAACCACGTTCACGATGCATCAAACGAAATGTTATTAAATCCCCACTCTTAAATACACGACTTATCAGTCCACGGACACTAAAAGTAAGTGAACAATATAATAAAGAAGTGTTATGTTAAATAATATAATTGTGCTCATTAATACCTTTTCAAATCTTGTTTATAAATTGATTCAAAACAAATTGGACATTTTCTCCATTGTTTATCACTTAACGCCAAATAATGTAGTATACACGACCAACAATACACATGACCACAACGAGTTATTTTACCTACAAATAGAAGAGAAAAAAGTAGATGTATATAATCTTACATCAGTTATAAGTTAAAAATTTACCAGCAATAGGCTGACACAAACATATTGGACACTTTAATTGTTCACTTGAACATAATCGAATTTGCTCAACTTTGGTCCAATCAATAGGTTTATCGGGATCGGCAAAATGCAAACTGTAATCACCATCGATTTCAACAACAAACTGACAGCTATATCAAAATAAACATTAGTGTCAGCAATGCAAAACAAATAGTATAGTAGACAATTGAAACTGCATATAGCATTCCTCTACCAGATATTGATAGACAAGGCGGCTGTTTTCTGCTACGAATTTGGCAAAAAGAGCATTTTTATTGTACACTTAAAAGTTGTATTATAAGTTTCAAAAACTTCTTTTATTATTATTACAATTATATTAACATATATTGTTCAGATTATAGACTTACTTTGCTTGTAAAAATTGTTCTTTTGAAAAACGTTTTGTTTGATATTTTCCATTGCCGTAACCGCGTCGTCCATACGATGACATTGTGCGTTGTTTTTCCAAAAAATGAAAATTTAATAAATGATTAACATTTGTCTTTTTTCCACGACGTTTTTCTAATGTTTCATCTAAATCAAAGCCAGTTTTATCATCATCAAATATATCTATATAACCATCATCTAAATCCTAAATGACAGTAAACAAAAAAGAAACTAAGTTAATCGTAACTGTATAGACTCAGTGGAGGACAAAAAGTAATTCGATGAATAATGAAAAACATAAACAAAACAAGAATTAAAAGCATTTTTTTTCTTTAACATTATCTGAAGCTTCTTATGAGCTTGAAGCAGATAGAATTCCTTGACCTCTACTGCTGACAAACAAATGAAGATGTCAATGATAGTATACAAGTACATAGCATTGAGGTACGATGCAGCGTATTAAAGAAATTATCAACAAAGACTCAATTACGACACTCTTCTGTTGTTGCTGTTCTAAAACATCACAACATTCTTGTATTAGATGATACGTATAGAAAATGGTGAGGACGTTTCTAATGAGAGAATGACGTCGTTCTTTCCTACAATCTTCTGAGTAAAGTTAAAACAATAAATCTCATCTTTCATTACTCTATTAGACGAAATTTGTTCTTGATTATTTTGTTCGTATTTGCGTTGTTCTCGTTGGTTATTTCGGTATTGCTGACGTGAATATTGTTTTTGTCCAAGAATGGTTCCATTTCCACCTGAATTTTGTTGTATATATTTAGAACCATTACGAGACGATAAAAATTTATTATACTTTGGAGATGAAGGATCTAAACGAACAGAAAAAACAACATGAGAAGAAAGTTTGACATGATGAACAGAGTTTGTTTACAACACATCTTCTCTTACGCTCGAATAAAGGTATGCGAAGCAACTCAAGACAAAAAACCGCTTAAAGAAAAGTATTTTTCATTTCTGTCAAAGCAACTTGGGCAGTAATGACGTTCTTATCGAAAATATCATTTAATTGTAATTTGTAATTGATAAAAACTTAAAATGAAAAACAAGCTGATCTAGAAATACACTAACATTCAGAGGCAAACCTACTGGTGTTGTGGGGGATAGTTACCACGCTCCTGCTTTCAGAAAAATTTCGGTTTTGTCTTTCGCTTTTCAAAATACGAACTTTTTCGGAAGAACGAAAACTTTTTTTTGACAAGACCCCCGCCTGCTGTGAGATGCTCGGTACGCCTCTGCTAACATTTAAAACCGTTCTATCTGACAATCAATTCTGTTATGGTTGAATGAGTTCGCCTTACCATTTCCTTTCGAATTTTTTCTGTTGACTGCATTCTGATTATTATTGTTAATCACTGATCCAGCATTTGTATTTGTGGCATTGAATCCTCGTTGATATCGTTCTTGATTATCGGCCATCGTTTTCCACGTTCTCTTAACGTATCTAATATTAAATCAGCTGTTGTTGAAGCTAATCTTCTTCGTCGACTTTTCCTTAGGTTTAAACTTGAACAATCGAAATATTCTTTTTTATTGTTTTTAGCAATCATTGTGCCATGTTTAGTAAATGTAATAAGATAGAGAAAATGAAAATAGTTTTTACTTGCTTTTTGTAATAGTAAATACTAGATAAAATAAGTTAGCTGTGTTGACACTGAAAATTGAGTAATTACTCTCTTCAGGCTTACTATACCCAAAGATTAAAGTCGATTTTATCACAAAAAAAACTGATAGATTTTCGACGAGCGCTTTTGTTTTGGTGTGTGCACTGTTGCTTGACAGTACGGTTATGGTTGCAATTTTACTCCACTTTGGTTGATTCTTTCGTCACATGAGTAGGTAAACCTTGGAGTTGCCAGGACAAAAATTTTCAATGAACATTAAAAGCTTTAGACTCGCGATCATTAATTACACTATTGAAGTGTGAAATTAACAAAAAACTATATGCCAAACTATAGAACTAACGGCTTAGATTAGTGCATTAAACCCTCGTCATACTACTCAATACAGAATGGTCTTCTAAATAACTAATCACACACTAAGATTAGTATGACAACTGAAATCCATAGAACCTAGGTTGTTTTCCACAGTAGTCAGTTTCTACATGGAAAAAAGTAGAAAATAACTCCTAACCAGAGTTCCCAAATGGTCCGTATTTTGCGGACAAATTCCGTATTTTGGTGTTTTTTCCGCAGTTTGTCCGCATTTTAAGCTTTTGCTCTCTGTGCGTGAAAACAGCTGAAGTTAGATCATGAAAATGCGTTTAGGCTTTTTTCCCGCATTTCTGACCTGAGCATCTGGAACTCTGCTCCTAACGGCTATCTTTGACGGCTAGCGGAAAACAATCGGGAATCGAGGGTTGGTACGAGGACCGGCGACTAAGTGCATCCGCTAGGTTAAGATACGCCAGAGGAGAAACCCTGGAGGAGAGCGCTACTATCAACGTAATTTTATGAGATTTACGCTGATTGTAGCGATCTTTCTCCAGCGTTTTCCTCTAAGCTTCCTCTAGCTACGCTTAACTTAATCCATCCGCTATAGTGCCACTAAAACATATAGGATGCTAATAATTCGAACTGAAATTCATTGGATGAAAATTTTAGATTTAAATAAGCTTTACATAACATTTCATTTCCTCATATTTCTTTGTTATATTCAAGCGCAGCTACTGCGATCTCCGACAAAGGCACCACGAACAGACTGTGTTAGAGATTCGTCGTGAGACACTTAGTCATCAGTCCTCATACCAGGTCAAGAGTATAGTGTTAAAAGAAGGCCTTGTATTTGAATAACGTCTGAAACTTTTCTCAAGTTATAACCTTCCAACCTATGAATGAAACAAAAGCACAATTAGCTACAGTCTTATATTGTTAAAAATGAACAAATGCGGGTCTTCTATAAGTTTATATTATTGTCTGTCACTATTTTCACTGTCTTAACAAGGGGAAAACCCGATTTGCGTTATGTCTCATATACTCAGTACGTTTTTTAATGTTTTTAGTATTTTTTGTAAGAGAGAGCAAAAAATACATTTTGTAAAATCTGGAACATGAACGCTGCTGTGCGGTAGAAAAATTCAAAAAGCATCTTGAGATGATACTGAAGATATTGTACTATTTAATTTTGACTTACTTTATAAGACATTTTATTGAAAAGATAATCATTTTGTGGTGATCACTAAAAGAGAGATCAAGTCTAAGCTTGAAACTTCCTTTTGAGAAGTTCGTCGATCCTCAGTTCCTTTTTGGAGTTTCGTCGATCTTGAAACTCCTTCGGTACTTGGACATTGGACAGCATTTTTTTGGATATGAGCTGATTCATCACGTCAGGCCGGTACGCCAACAGCTTGGGCACTTTGTTTCATAATAAAGATGGGCGCCCCCACAATTCGAACATTTCACAATGTAGTTGATTGCCGGTGATGTCGATGCCACATGTTGAACATTTCTCATTTGTAGCTGCACATTGGCTACTGAAACGTCCAAATGAATCGCATTTCGAACATATCAGGGTACGGGGTGTGGTCAAATAATTCTTCACCGTCAATTTCAAATGGTTCAGATAAATAGGATCCGATGACCGATACCGATTGTAATCATCGGATGAACGAAAATTAATCTGACGTTTCGAGTACTAACCACCTAAGATGATGACAACAACGCATCACCAATGACTGATGAATAAATGAGTCGCAGGTTGTTCAAAATTTCGTCCTCTTTTAGTTCCAGTTGTACAGTTTCTAGTGGGTGCATGCCGATTACGTAAACGTCGACGCCTAGAGGCTCTCGAGCATGCTGAAGCTATTGCAGATGTTAGTTTTCTTTGGTTTTGACTTTTATATTGTGATTTTGGAAAACCTGGATTTTTAGTTGACAAGTTTTGGCGGCATCTTTATTAAAAATCCAGCAGTAAATGAAATTCTCTTTGAATACGCGCTCATTGGGTAGAGAAAATTTTTCTCTCTCTAAAAATGTAGTTTTGATTGAAAATTTATTTTGTTCTGAAAGATTTCTAAAAGATCTTTAACGAAAAACCAAGATCTTTGAAAGATTTTCTCTAGGAAACTAAGATAGTAATTGAAATTGTGTTTGATGTTCGCTTTATACTTGGTAAACCATGTAATTTAAGCTTATAAGCATGCC